AGAGAGAGAGAGAGAGGTCAATGAGGATAGAAGTTATTCTTTTCACAAAGAGATATGAGCTGGTTTTGTGGCATATTGAGATACGCAACAAAAGGCCCTGCAGTGATGTTTCCCGACTTGTGGCCATGTAAAATGTGAGAAAGGCACAGATATTAGAGTTTTATTCCTTGCACTTGGTTCTGGGCAGACATTTTAAAATCAAAAATGGATTGTGCCTAATTGTGCGTCTGCGCTCCGTGTGACTTACTTACTCAAGGTGTTATTTGGTACAAAAAACAGGCAAATCACTGTATGCTTCCTGGAAAGGAAAACAGTCAAACCTATTGTGAACTGCTGTTGTTGCTCATCATCAGTGTGTACCAGTCTCTCTTTTTTCTTTGTGTGTGTCCTACCTTGTGTGTGTGTCTCTGGTTCACTGTTTCGTGGACTGCTGCGGAGGCGTCTCTCTGGCTTCTTCCCACCTGGACTGCTGACTCCGCCCCCCGAACCCACTGACCCAAGCGATGGGGTGTGTGATTTGTTGCTGCATCACAAACAAAACAGTAACAGCATTTAATTAGTTAGTTAGTTAGTTATAGGGGGGTCAAAAATAGTTTTGACCACAGTAAATGACCCCTTAAGGTAGTTACAGAGGATTACATTTTTTTGTAAAATAGTATTCAGTAGAGATGTTTCTTTGCTGCAACAATGCCATTCTTTTTCTTTTGAAAATGAGCAACTCAAATAAGTGAAGTGAAGTGAATTTTAACTGCATTAAGCCATCATTAATTTAAAAAAAGTAGTCCCTGGTAGAAAATGTTGTTTGTCATGTAATGCCACCTAGAATCATATACTTTTTGATAGCTGACTATTAACTTTAAATAATATACCATATTTGAGGGATGATATAGTTCTAAGAGTGGACTCCCCTTGCATTTTGCCTCTTCTAGCAGAAATTACACAGGTAGCTCTGACAACTACTAATTTTCATTCTTTTTTTGACTATATTCTCCACAATTAATGGTATGATCATAGCCAGTATTCTTCAAACAACAGTTCACCATTTAACCTGTGAAAAACTCACTTGATCATCTAGTCACAGCCAGTTTTAGAGGGCCACAGGGGCAGTATGATTACCTGTATCCGTTGTGTGCTGGCCCCAGGCTGCCCTTATAGAGAGTGGAGGGAGGGGAGTTAAGTCGGTTTTGTCGCTCTAGTTGTCTTTCCTTTATCTTTTTGGGCTGTGGCTTAGTGTACGTGTCCTCTCTGCCTATGAAGTTAGACATCCCATAAACTGGGATGATTTCTGAAGGAGAGTAGAACGGATGAAAGAAGAAAATAGAATTTATGTCAAACAAAAAAATCTGTGCAAAGCGTATTTTTAAAATTGGATTAATAATTGGATTTTTAACTCCACATAAAACCCCTGTTTTTTTTTTTGCAGTAGAATAAAGTCCAGTCAGCATGTCAGTACCTGGATCGCCGTACATGGGGGGAAGGTGGTGCTGGTAGTACTGGTGTGGGGGCAGCTCCCCGGGGCTGACAGGGGGGTAGAAAGAGTGAGAGTTTGGGATAAAGTGAGGGTGAGTCAGGTAGGGGGGCAGGTGGTGCGTAGGGGAGAGGGCTGGAGAGTAGGAGGGAGGGTAGCACTCTGGAGACTGGGGGGTCACAACCACCCGACGGACCCCTGTGGTATCCTCCAGCACCTGAGAAAAGAAAAGGACGTGTGTAAGACGAGTAAAAATATGTTTCCGGAATTTCACAGTTCGCAGTACAGTGACGGCTTCAAATGGGATGAGTGTGTTTGAGAAATGCAAACTCCAGTACCCACAAATCATGAGAGGTCAGTAAACTGCACACTGGCTTTACTGCTAACTGAAGGTTTCCCTGGATAGTGCTTCCTCAAATTGGCTCTTTTGAGTCAAGAGGATAATGTGCAGATTAGCAATGTCAATAGATTAAAATGCCCTAATATGGCTTAAAGGAATAGTTCAACATTTTGGGAAATACGCTTATTGACTTAGTTAGATGAGAAGACTGATACAGCGCTCATTTCTGTAAATATGAAACTACAGTCAGCAAGACTGGGAAAAAAGGAAAAAAACGGCTAGCCTACCTCTGTCCAAAAGTAACAAAATTGGCCTACCGGCACCTCTAAAACTTACTCATTAACTTTGTTTATTTTGTGCAAAAACCAAAGTGATAAAATGGCAATTTATGGTTTTAAAGGGGTTATGTGGTGCACAATTTCTTGGCTGGTAAAAGTAACTTGTTATCACTGTGAGTTTTTTTTTAACCAACTCCAAGCCATTTAGCCCTTTTTCCAGTCAGTCTTTTTCCAGTGCTAAACTATCTGGCTGAAGCGTGGCATCAATCATTTAGCTGTTGTCAAAAAAGTGAATAAGCATATTTCCCAAATTGCCAAAGTAGTTAGAATTCTAATAAATATATAAAGCTATTTTTAAAATCCAAAGATCCTGGAGCACCTGCTCTTACAAAATGATGCTGTCAATCATTTTGTAAGAGCAGGTGCCCTGTCTGTCAAATGGTGGATATCTAATAAAGGAATGAGCTGCATAATTTATTTAACAACTGAGACATTGTGTTAACAGGACGCTTTGGCCCTTTAAGTGGTGAAAACAAGTGCTGCAATGTTGTCATCAGATGGTCCGCAGATTTCAATAACAACAAGTTTCAAACAACTGCCTCAGATTAACATAAATTCCATACATGTATTCACTTTCACATTCATGGGCACACACACACAC